ACTTCAATTTGGCTTGATTCAATCTTGTATTTTACCCTTTTTAGTCTCATACCTTTACAAAAATTCTTGTATGGACTCCCCTGGATCTAAGTAAGAATTGACACAATCCTGCAACTCTTTCGGTGTACAGTACAGTCTAACTCATACCAGACCAGACCTTTTTCTTTCTCACTAGTATACTTACCTTAGCAGGAAATCTAACCTACGTGCACATCTAAGTGACAACTCTACACACCTTACAATCAGTTTCTAGACTTAATCCTTTCTATATACAGGAGATAATTTCTTTAGAGTTTTCTTAAGGGCTTTCCAAATTTCTGTCTGGGTCTGTGTGGGACATTCAAGATTTTCAATATACCCTTTTCTTTATGGATTCTCTCTAGTGTAAGAAAGACCATTTTATGACACAATCTTTGTCATCAAACTAATTGCCTCAGCCATTTGACCTCCCTAAGCTTATCTTCCATCTTCACCCCGTTCCATGCCTCCACTGGTGATGTACTGAGAAATCATGATGTTATTGCACTCCACATATTCAGTTCAGTTCAGTCGCTCAGCTGTGTTCAACTCTTTGCGACCCCATGGACTGCAGCATGCCAGGCCTCCCTGTCCATCACCAACTCCTGGAGCTTGCTCAAACTCATGTCCATCGAGTCAGTGATGTTAGTCTTGTTAGAATGCCTATCATCAAAAAGACAAGTGATGAAATGCTGGCAAGGATGTAGAGAAAAGAGAACCCTTGTGCACTCTTGGTGGGACTGTAAATTGGTGTAGCCACTATGGAAAACAGTGTGGAGGTTCCTCAAAAAACTAAAAGTAGACTACCGTATGACCCAACAATTCCACTTCGGGGAATATATCCAAAGGAACTTAAAACACCATGTCAAAGGGGTAACTGCACCCCCATCTTCATAGCAGCATTATTTANGGTGGAGAGGGAGGTGGGAGGGGGGACCGGGATGGGGAATACATGTAAATCCATGGCTAATTCATTTCAATGTATGACAAAAACTACTGTAATGATGTAAAATAATTAGCCTCCAACTAATAAGAATAAATGGAAAGAAAAAAAAAGCATCAATTCTTTAGTGCTCAACTTTATAGTCTGCATATTCTATATATTCTATATAATCTGCATATTCTATATACTCCACATATATTCTATATACTCCACATATTACTAGTGTACCATTTCCTATATGGAGGGTACTTCATGCTCCTCAAACCCATGAGCAGCCCAAGCCTAGGATTACATTTTAAAATCCATTTGCTGGGACTACAACTGGTACCAATTACTGTTTTGTTCAAGGTCCAGAAGGAACCTGTTGGCAGACGCAAACTGGCTAATTTGAGAAGTACTTAGTCAAAGGACTATTTACAAAGATGACATGGTTTAAGGAAATTAAAAAAGTGAAGCACCTTAACCTAGCTACTTATGGGTTATTATGACCCATAAGCTGAAGAAGTAAAAAGAAGGAATGATCCCCAGAACTCAAAGAGAGTTGTAGAATAGGAGGATTGGCCATCCAACTAGAGTTGGCATCTTGGGCCGATAAAAGAAGTCACTTGCCAACAACTGACCAAGAGCCAGCGGAATAAATATCCCAACCTCTTTCTCTCATACCTCAAACTTCCTTCTGATGCTTCCTATTGATCAAATCCTACTAAGAGATATTATGCACTCACTGAGGCAGTGCATAAAGATCAGCCTACAAGGGCACAAAGCTGAGAAGGGAAGGAAGGAAGGAAGAGCCGAAGAGGCACATGAAGACTAGCCAGGGAAACCAAATACTATTATCTTTTAATACATTTTTTGGATTTGGTTTGTTAATGTTTTGTTTAGGATTTTTGCATCTATATTCAGAGTGAAATTGACCTATCGTTTTCTTTCTTGTACTATCCTTGTCCAATTTTGATATCAGGGATACACTGGTCTCATAAGGTGGGGAGTATTCATTCTTTTTATATATATTAGAAGAAGAATATCTCGTAGAATCAGAATCTTTCATTCCTTCATTGCTCAAAAGTGACAGGAGATAATCTACCTAAACTACATAGAGCAAAAGCATTGTTACATAATCCTGCCTCACTTCGAATGGTTGGAGAATTGCCATCAACCACCCAGTGTTCCTGGAAAGACGAGAGAAACAGTATTTTCTATTTCTTGACTCATTTCTCTCTTTTTTCATTTTGAAGGTTTTCTGAGTCAAGAACTGTGAAGTATCCGAAATGTTACCCTAACTGCAAGCTAACAAGTTTGGTGCTGCAAGTTCATAAACGATAGGAGAAGACATGAAACTCCTGGGTCAGAGATAAAGCACAATTTACTGTTCACAGAAACAACAGCAGCCAGAATATCAGCATTTTGCCCTAATTCCCCCTGGGTGACGCATGCACACAGTGAGCTGCTTTGCAGGCTGAGAATGCGGGCTAAGAGATGCTGAGTCTTTTACAGGGAACAGTAAACACTATCTCTGTCTTCTAAGACTGCTTGTTTTACAAATATCCTTGGAAAAAAAGAACTAAGTACCTCTACTCAAAAGACAAGCAGAAACGTTAAAAACCTGTGGAGAATTGTTTCCCAATTGACTTTTTGTTTTAAACCTACTTTCATACCGAATGTAGAGATTATTAATTTATATTGTGAAAAACAATTTACCAAAATAAAGTAACTTCTTTTGCTCTGCTATTTTTCTTCTCAATTTCATCCTTGATATGAATATTGCCACCAGTTATTTTGGAGTTATAGAAGGTGTCTATTTGCATATGATTGATATAGTGTTGCTAAATATCCTTAAATGCCATCTTATTGGGGATACATATCTAGCACGTAGCTTGTAATTCACTCCTTTGATACCACATGAGAATAACTGTCCTTTACTAGAATTTTAACCCATTCAAATTTATGCAGTGATTTTTTTTTTGCACTGTGATATTTTTAATCTTATTTTTCTCTCATGTATACCTCCTTCCTCTTAACCTAAAAGACAAACATACCACAAAACCTCTTTATTTCACAGTAGTTCTCCTGTTTGCTGCTGTTCCCTTGTCTCTCTAGAAATGTGGAGTTTATCATTCCATTTTCATTCTGCTAGGATTTGTCTTTAAATTTTTTAACTACATATTTGAACATCTTCTTTCCTACCTACTTATCCATTTGCTCATCCCCCCTTGAAAAGATCTGAAACACTTTATCCCCCTGGATCTTCCTACAACAGAATTTAGTTAGAACACTCAGGGTATTTTTGTTGTTTTTGATTCAGATTTTTGTTTTTTGCAGTAGAGACTTCTTTTTGAAAAATTATTTGTGTTCATTACATTGTTCCATAACCATTCAAGTGATGATCCTTTAGAAAGAATCTTGAAATTTTAGTGCTCACCGCCGTTTCTCATACAGATTATCATGCCCAGGTCGTTCCTCCAGTGTCAACGTCAGCTGGAGCACAGAATGAGTCCACACAGATTGCTGACTTGCTTCCAGGCTAACAATGTCTTTCTGTTGTTTTCACACACCCCACCCCACCCCACCCCCCCGCAAAATTGTCTGAAAGTGAAACTCTCGGATCATTTTTTTACTCAAAATTCAAAATTCTTCAATAGAAATGTTCCTCCATTACCTTCTGGCACTTAGCGTTGGGGAGGATAAATCTAATGCTGTTGTTACTGACTTTGTGTGTGTGTGCGCGCGTGGCTTTTCATCTCCAACTTGAATGTTTACAGAGTTTGTCCAAAATTTTTGAAATCCAGAAATGTCATGAAGTTGTGTCTATGTGTGTCTCTATATTAATTTTCCCAGTTCTTGGTAGACACTTTATATAGCCTAAGGACTTATGTCTTTTTAGTTAGGGAAATCAGTTTTAAACCTTTGTTAATTGTTTCTCCTTCTATACTCCATTTTAGGCTTGCGCTATTTCTAGGATGGACAAAAAAAATCTGTTAAACTTATTGTTTTGCTCATCTACTTCATTTCTCGGAATTTTCCTCTGAATTCCAGGAGACTATCTTATGCTAAATCACCCAATTTCCGTGTTAGTTTTAGCTTTCAAGTACCAGATCTGTTCTTCATTGCCATCAGTGTGTTGTTTTTGTGATTCAGCAACTATTTTATTGTATCTATTTATTGTAATTATTTAATAGTAATTTTTCCTAGTATTTTCCCCAAAGGATGAAAAATGCTATTAAAATGTCCTTAACATAGTCAAGAGATTTGTTAAATAAATATGTGTTTTCACTCCTCAAATGGATCTCTTTTTGATTTTTGAATCTTTGCATATATGGTAACTATCCTTTCTTCATCAGCTTGTTTTTGTGATAGTGTGATATAACACTTTGTTCTGTTCTGTTGTTTAGGCCTTTATCAATATATACAGTCCTCCTGAAGGAGAAGGAAGGAAACCCTTTCTGTGGTTTTTCATTTGTTAGTGGGCTAGGGAAGGCATGCTCAACAGGTAATAAACTAGAGGAATGCAGATACTTTACTTCAAAGGCAGGGGAATGAACTGCTTAGCTAGTTGCTTTCAGGTATCCTGAGGCCAGGGTTCTGTAATAGCAGGTCACAACTGAACTTCTTCCCCGCTGACTGCCCTCCAGCCTGACACCATCTCCCGCCCCTTCTGCTGTGGATATTTGGACATTTGTATAAAAAGAGAGCTGTAGTTTCAGCGAGATGGAAAAGAATTTACCAGAAGACCTGACTGTATTAAGGAAAGTCTCTCTGCTGTTGAGCCTATCTTTTTCACTCTTCGTGGTTATTTTCCTAGCCCTAAATTGAGGTGCTGCCCTTTTTCATGCAGGATCTAAGAGCTCTGGTTGCTCCCCCACCTCAGGTGTACTCCACCAGTCTCCCGTCACTGTGAGCATGAGATATGTAGTCAGACGCCTTACTCCAGGGCAACGGAGGAAGGCTCACGTCCTCTACCTGCCCTTCTCGGAATGTCTGTATATTGATTTACCTCTAATATCATGTACATAAAATTTTAAATAAATTAATGTAGAAAAAGTAAAAATAAAATGTTCTCTTTGTTTATTTCAGTAACAAAATTATATTTAAATTTCACACTATCTAACAATAAAGCAATTGGGGATGTTTTCACCATAAAACTTATGACAGTATAACAATTAAAATCAATAAAAGGATAAAATTCTACTTCTGTATTGTGTGACCTCTGTATTACTCTATTAGCAGTGGACAAAAATTCTGATCATCAAACAAAGAGTCCTGGATCTTCTAAGGACCAGGCCTCTGGACTTCTAAAATCTTAGTTGTTGGTTCTGACTCATGCTTCTTTCTGATTTCCTCTACTTCACCATCATCAAGTAAAAATGAAGCCAGTAGCGGAATTTGAGAAAAATAGTTCTTAGCCAGGAAGTGTTTGTGTTTGATCTTGTGAATAAACAAGGGTTCATATCCCTGAAAAGAAAAAAAGTCAGATTGTATTAAATGTCACAGATAAATCTTGCCAAACAAAAACACTTTTATGCCTCAGTGCCTTTGCTTGTCAGTTCTTTCAGCTCAGGAAACTTTTTTTTTCCCTCACTTTGTCCATCATTTTACAGGGCTCAGCTTTTGATACGTAAACCTGGAAGTCTTTCTAGATTTTCTCTCTGAACTGAGTCCAAACTAACTCCTCCTTCTTCCATACCTACAAGCACTTTCATATATTTTTAAATGAAATATTTAATTCATTCTGCCTTGGACTTCACTATCTACTTGCAAGTCTCTTCCATGATAAATAAAGAAGACTCCTTAAAGATTCAAACTGGGTCTTTTTCATACATGTTTCTCTGGTCACCTTAGGTAAACAGTCAATCAATATTTTTGTGTGAATGCTCTTGTCACCTTGGTTCTCTTTAAATCTATTTCAATACTGATACAATTACCAACTTGAATTTTTTTCTAAAATTTGTCCTTCCCTCTACATCTCCAGAGTTCAAAATAAAGATCACAATGTACAGGAGAAACTAATACAACATTGTAAAGCAACTTTTCTCCAATAATAAAACAAAAATTAAATAAATAAACAGTGGTGCTGTGACCATGTAAACTTCTTTTCTGTCACCCTTTTTACAACCACAGATATGAGCTCCTGCACTATTCCTCTTCTGTCTTCTAAACAGAAAATAATCTTCTGCCTTTAATAAATTTTTGTGCCTTTCCATTTTTGTTATTAACTAATATTTACACTTCCTGTCTCTCCACAGCTGTAACAGCACTTTGAACTTTCTCTGTTAGGTAGCTCTGCCACATTACAGACAAAGAAAACATCTGTTTTCTAATAAAAGGAGCACAGNAGATAAAGTAACTATCTATCTCTAAGAGTACACGATCATTATGATTAAAGCCAAAGTTTAAATATGGCTGTGGAAGAAGTTAGAGGGCCTGGATTTTTGAGAACGTTGTAAAGCTACCACACAACCACCCTGTCATTGTCAAACTCTGCATTCCTGTTATATAAGAAAAGCAGCCCCATATTTGGTTAATTTGTTAAATTAACTTGCTTGCAAATTGCTTAATTTGTTATTTACAGCTAAGCTCAAATGCAACTGAAATGATCAAGAATTGTGTCCATTAGATTTCTCCGTTTTTCCCGAAGCACTTATCACAGTAACCCTCAGATTCAAAAGCAGATTCTGGTTGAATTAACAAACACCATCTATTCTCTTTATTAATTCTACCTGACTCTTCTTTTCAACCAAATCACAAATACTACCTGTACCTCCTCCTAAAATTTGTTTTCTGAAAAGTCAGCTATCTCCTTACTAAAGATGCTTCCACAGTGTCAAGTTAAAGAAAGTCCTGGAGAAAAGGAAACAGAGGACATGGCATTCTTAAAGAAAGCAGAAAGTATCCTGGGCTCATTTTAAGGTTTCCTCTCTAGGGTATGTTTACATATATACACAATGGAATAATACACAATTAAAAAAGAAAGAAAAGTGGCCATTAGCAACACAGATGGACCGAGAAAGTATTATGCTTTAGGGAAATAAGTCAGAAAGAGAAAGACAAATACTTCATATTATCACTTACCTGTGCAATCTAAAAAATAAAGCAAATATACATAACAAAACAAAACAGAAACAAGTTATAGATACAGAGAACAAACGAGTGACTACCAGTGGGAAAAAGGAAGATGTGGGGGCAAGAGAGGATTAAGAGACACCAACTACTGTGTGTACATAGATAAGCAACAAGAATATATTGTACAGCATAGGTAAATATAGCCATTGTTTATAACGACTTTAAATAGAATATAATCTATAAAAATATTGAAACATGTTTTACACTTGAAACTAACTATATGTTATAAATCAACTATACTTTAATAAAAAAAAATTCTTCTCTACAGACAAATTCACCGAGGGACTTCACTGGCATTCCAATGGTTATCACTCCATGCTCCCATTGCAGGGGGCACGGGTTCAATCCCTGGTCAGGAAACTAAGATCTCACAAGCTGCACAGTGTGGTAAAAAAAAAAAAAACAACACTCATCTAACCTCCTCCCAACACTTCTTAGCCCATATTTCATTTAAGGAATACTGACACATTTCTGTTATATTAATATTAATACAACATTAAATAATACATGTAGAGAACCTTACAGATTTTCAAAGTGCATAAACAGAGCCCAATCAATCATTAAAGATGAGAATACCACATTATGTTATATACAATAAAAGGAACAATAAGTAACTCTTAAAGAATAATATAATATGGAAAAATATCCAATATTCATTATCCCCATGTTATATATGAGAAAACTGGGGTATTGAGACAGTAACAAACTTGCCCAACTTCTTGCAACTCATAAGTGATAGAATCAGAATTCAAAGCTAAGGCTACTCTTACCCCCTGTGACTTGCCTGGTGGCTTAGACAGTAAAGAGACCACCTGAAATGAGGGAGACCTGGGTTCGATCCCTGGGTTAGGAAAATCCCCTGGAGGAGGAAATGGCAATCCACTCCAGCATTCTTGCCTGGAGAATCCCATGGACAGAGGAATCTGGTAGGCTATAGTCCATGGGTTCACAAAGAGTCAGACCCGACTGAGTGACTAAGCATAGCACTCTAATCCTCTATGCCAGTTCCATGTTTTTAGCTAACTTTTATAAAATTTTCAAAGCAAAGAAGGCAGGTCCTAATGTCTTGTGGATCCTCAGTGACAGATGAGGAAATACTGGGTCAGGTCTCCTGACTTTAAATCCACCATTTTCCTACTTTGGCCAATGTACACACTGTGAGAAACTGACCTGCCTCACACACAGTTCAGAGAACAGAAGCCTTTTTCCATGCTTTCCCTACAGTTTGTGTCATGACTATAGGAGTCAAGATTATTTTAACTTTTAAGTATTTTTTTTTTCCTCAATGAGATAGCAAATGTGTGTTAAGTCGCTTCAATAGTGTCCAACTCTTTGAGACTCTATGGACTGTAGCTCTCCAGGCTCTGTCCATGGGATTCTCCAGGCAGGAATACTGGAGTGGGTTGCCATGACCTCCTGCAGAAGATTTTCCCAACCCAGGGATTAAACCTGCCTCTCCTATGTCTCCTGGGTGGGCAGGTGGGTTCTTTACCACTAGTGCCACCTGGGAAGCCCTTTGATAGTAAATAGCTCTCTGTATTTCGGAAATTCTGGAAATGCTTTACTTTGCCACAAGACATAAACTGTTCTTTAACTAGGATGAATACTAATACTTAAAAGATTACACCAGCCCAAACCCATAAAACAGCAATTTATTTTAGTTTGTCTGAAATAACAATTATGTTTGAAGTCATTTCTTTATTTACACTAGGCTTACTTAGTGTAAATGGAGCTCTATTTACAGAAATTCAATAAGATCCTGAAATTAGAAACGCATGTGAATAAAACATTTAATTTGATACTGCAGTAACTTGATTAAATACACAAAGGGAGTTTGTGCATTAATTGAAGCAGCAGTGGAATATCACCTTTGGGAATGAACTTTAATTCCACTATGGCTCCTATATGAAATGATTCTGCTAGTATTGGCTAGGCTTCCAGTGATTAAATATTTATGGGGCAGCTTAGTTCACTAAATATAATATTTAACACAGCTTCAGTTTGTTACCCTTTCCTCCAGTCCCTAGGGTGAAATTTTTCTTATCCTGGCATCTACTGGAAAATTCTTCAAAAAAGCGAACAATTTAATTACTTCCTCCTCTTTACACCTTCCCCTTCCCCAATAAAAACATGTACAGGGAAGAGCATGATTCAAAATGACTATTATGTTTGAAGTCATTTCTTTATTTTCCCTTAGCTGACATCTCGCATCGAATAAGTACAGCAATTTAATCAGTGGGAAGCAGAGATTCAGTACCAGCTGTTGGGATCATAGGTTTACTTAGTGCAAACAGAGCTTTCTGAGAACTCATCAGGGACCCCTCAATTCTGTTCATCAAAATGTTTTACAGATTGCATCTTGTAAGTTACTGAAATTAAATGATGTTTAATTTTTATAGCACTTTCCTTACTCCTAGCTAGTTGGAAGCAAATGAAAAATTAAGGCTCAGAACTACACCCCATTGGTAGGATTGACATTTAGGACACAAAATTATGAACCGAATTTATTTGAGAAGTTAGTGTGCTTTTAGGTAGACCTGTGAATAATCAAAGGACAGACTCTAGGTTCCATAATAACTATCTGGTGATAGTATTCATTTATTCATTCAACAAATACATATTAATTAGCTACTCTGTCACACTGTTGTATTAGAGATATAGACACACAAAAACTAAACAATATCCCTAGCTCTTGTGAAATTTACTGTGGTACTAATGTGCTTGAACTTGCTATTATTAGGAGGTACTGGTTTCATGTTAGGTACTTGTAAGACTTCCAGATGTCTTATCTTTATCTCTTATGTGCCTTAACCTCCTTTAAATTTCAATCTCTGCCATACATACCATCCAGGTATGTGTTACTGTTATCCAAGGGTTCTCTGTTGCTTAATCCAATGAAACTATTCAAATTATGCATGGAATGTAGTAAAAGGCAGTCAAGTGAAAGTGAAAGTTGCTCAGTCATGTCCACCTCTTTGCAACTCCATGGACTATATAGTCTATGAAATTTTTCAGGCCAGAATACTGGAGTGGGTAACCTTTCCATTCTCCAGGGGATCTTCCCAACCCAGGGATCAAACCCAGATCTCCCACACTGTGGTTGGATTCTTTACCAGATAAGCTATCAGGGAAGCCCTAAAAGGCAGTCAAGTTACTTCTAATAATTCCAGTGGTCAAACTAAGGTCACAGATTGACTTTCTTACCTCTTCAATACTCTTTAGCTTGAGATGAATAGCGCCTTCATCTTTGGTAAGAAGAATGCAGTTCCAGGGAGACCATTCCACAGACTTATCCCATCTGACCATGACCAGATCATTGAGATCCTTCCAAGCACTGAGCACAGACTGGGATGCCCAGATGTTCTCTGTCAGGTACTGAATATCTTGTAGCTACATGTCAAAATATATTTGTAAAATAAAAATATTCTAAACATAAAATTTTATTCTAAACACAAAATTTCTTTAAGATTATTATATCCCTTGAGAAAACAAATTGAATGTATCTTTTAAAGGGAAACATTATTCATGAGGTTTTCAGCGCACATGGTGATGGTGATTTAGTCACCAAGTTGTGTCTGACTCTTGGGACCCCACGGACTTAGCCCGCCAGGCTCCTTTGTCCATGGAAATTTTCAGGCAACAGTACTGGAGTGGGTCACCATTTCCTTCTCCAGGGGATCTTCCTGATCCAGGGATCAAACCCGGGTCTGCTGTGTTGCAGGAGATCTTCTGCACCGTAGGCAGATTCTTTACCAACAGAGGCACCAGGGAAGACTCTCAGAGCCTACGTGTGTGTGCTGTGCTTGGCCGCTCAGTTGTATCTGACTCTTTGTGACCCATGGACTGTAGTCCACCAGGCTTCTCTGTCCATGGGGATTCTCCAGGCAAGAATACTGGAGTGGGTTGCCATGCCCTCCTCCAGGGGATCTTCCCAACCCAGGATCAAACCCAGGCCTCCCGCATTGCAGGTGGATTCTTTACCAGCTGAGTCCCCAGGGAAGCCCAAGAATACTAGAGTGGGTAGCCTACCCTTTCTCCAGGGGATCTTCCCAACCAAAGAATCGAACCAGGGTCTCCTGCAATGCAGGTGGATTCTTTACCAGCTGAGCAATCAGGGAAGCCCAATCTCTGCTCACTCTGTCCAAACTATGTTACCAGTCTCACAGTCCTGACTACATCCAGAGAAAGCAGTATGTATTTCTTCCAACATGCTAATTTTACCTTACATTTATATGGTATTAAGTACTTTCTAAAATTCATTAATAACTTTCAGCTTATCCTCAGGGTTACTTGCAGATCATTTTATTCCCATTTTAGAAATTAGGAAATTAAGATGTGAAAAAGAATAAGCAATTCATTTAGTGTTATTAAAAACTTCATTGTTTTAGTGAAAAAAAAAAGAGGGAAAGGGGGGAAATGAAATAACTGCTTATAAACTTTTTAAAAATTTAAACCATATTAGCTACAGCTCTTGAAATGATTTTTTATCAAGAAGACTGCATATATAAACTTAGGACTGCCAGAGGGGCAAGCTTCAGAAAGAATAAACACAAGAAGAAGAACCATTATTTTAAAAGGCTTGGATGGGAAAGCAGAAATCTTTTCTGTAAAATCAATGAACAGGTTTCATCCGTGATTGGCAACATTTACTCATCATACCTGTATCAGAAAAGCAATTTCAGAATCATCTTCATAATCAGCTTCTGAACAGTAGAGCCGTTGAAGTAAACATTTGTACTTTAAATATGATTCTCGTTTTTGACTCTCATTTTCAAGGTTAATGCACTGACGGCATTGGTAAATGCGGTGTGAGGTGGATGATATAGGAAACTCTGCAGAAGGCAAATAGAGCTGGCAACTGTGGCAAAAGTAAATTTTCTTATAGAACTTCAATGGGTCCTGAGGGACCTAAACAATTAAAAAGAAAGAAAGAAAAGTTTAATAGCCAGGCCAAACATTAAGGGCTAACTTATCTTAGAATAAGATAAATATTTGGTTAATTTTAAAGTTATATTTTTCCCTAACTTCTAATCTATGCAAAATTTAAATTTCAAGTCATATTCATTCACTCTGTCAAAATGTTAAAAATCTATTGTTCAACTTTTAGATACATGTGGTGAAATCACCTAGAAAATTAACTGGCTGAAAAAAATGAGTAGGTAGAGGCTTTGAGTTGCAACCATAAGAAAACCTTCCAAAAAGAAGGGGAAAAAAGTCCTTTGACACTTATTTTTAAGAAGAATTTAGATTTTTGGTGCTATTCTGTATTAATTTTTCTTACAAGCAGTATATAAATTCATACATAAATAAAAGCCCATTAAAACAAGTGTTCTCATTTCATTCCAACTTCACACTAAATTTAGGTTGGTTCATTCATCAGTGTTCAAACTTTGAAACTCTGCATTATATAGTAGTTCTATTTCTAATTTTTTGAGGAACCTCCATAATGGCAGTACCAATTTACATTTCCACTAACAGTATACAAGGATTCCCTTTTTTCCACATCCTTGCCAATACTTGTTATCTTCTGTTATTTTAATAATAGACATTTTAACATTGAGGGGGTGATATTTCATTGTGGTTTTGGTTTGCATTTCTCTGATGATTAGTGACAATGAGTGACAATTTTTCACATACATGTTAACTATTTGTATGTCTTCTTCAGGAAAATGTTTGTTCAGGTCCTTTGCCAATTTTTAAATTGGATTAAAATTATTTTGCTATTGAGTTGTACAAGTTGTTTTGGATATACCTCATCTGATACACTAATTAAAAGTACTCTTACTCAAAGATGCTGAGTGTTCTTTTTTCTGGTGGAAGGTTTTATATTTATTAGATTTTTTAAGTATTGAAATATATAGTTGATGTACAATATTATGTTAGCTTCAGATGTTCTACACAATGATTTGACAAAATGATTTGGTGAGAACTGCCAATACCATGTTGAATAAAAGTGGCAAGAGTGGGTATCCTTTTCGTGTTCCTGATGATAAAGGAAATGCTTCCAGCTTTCTACTATTGAGTATTATGTTGGCTGTAGGTTTGTCATATAGGGCCTTTATTATGTTGAGGTATGTTCCCTCTACACCCACTTTGTTGAGAAATTTTAAACACAAATAAACGTTGAAGACTGTCAAAACTTTTTCTGCATCTACTGAAATGATCATATAATTTTCATTCTTCAATTTGTTAATGTGGTATATGATACTGATTTGCAGTGTTGAAATATTCTTGCATCCCAGAGATGTCTCTCTTGATCACAGTACATGATCCTTTTAGTGTGTTGTTGAATTCAGTTTGCTAACCTTTTGGTGAGGACTTATGCATGTATGTTCATCAGTGATATCTGTGTGTAATTTTCTGTGATGTCTTTGCCTGGTTTCAGTATCACAGTGATGCTGGCCTCAAAGAGTGAATTTGGAAATATTCTTTCCCCTTCAGCTTTTTGGAGTAGTTTGGGAAGGATAAATGCTAATTCTTTAAATGTTTAGCACCATTTCCTGTGAAGCAGTCTGGTCATGAGCTTTTGTTTGTTGGGAATTTTTGATTACTGATCCAATTTCATTACTGGTAATTGGTCTGTTCACTATTTTTACTTCTTCCAGATTCATTCTTGGGAGACTGTATATTTTTAAGATTCTATCTATCTCTTCGAGTTTGTCCATTTTATTGGTGTATAAACTGCTCATAATAATCTCTTATAATCTTCTGTATTTCTGTAGTGTTGGTTGTAACTTTATTTCCTTTTTTATTTCTGATTTTATTGACTTGGTACCTCAATTTTTATTGATGAGTCTGTCTAAAGGTTAATCAATGTTGTTTATCTTTTCAAAGAACCAGCTCTTAGATTTATTGATATTAATCTTTATTTTATTTACTTCTGTTCTGATTTGTATTATTTCTTTCCTTCCACTAATTTTGTGTTTTGTTTGTTCTTCTTTTTCTAGTTTGCGTAAGTGTAATGTTAGGTGGCTTATTCTGCAATTTTTCTTATTTCCTGAAGTAGGTTTGTATCACTATCAACTTTCTTCTTAGAACTGCTTTTACTGCATCTCATCAATTTTGGATCATTGTCTTTTCATTTTTGTTTGTCACCAGGTATTTTTTTAATTTTCTGTTTGATTTATTCAGTGAACCATTGGTCATTTAGTACACATTGCTTAACCTCCCAATGTTTGTGTTTTTTGCAGTTTTTTTTTTTTTCTTGTAGCTGATTTCTATTCTCATACCATTGTGGTTTGAAAAGATGATTGATAGATTTCAGTCTTCTTAAATTTACTGAGACTTGTTTTGTGGCCTAGCATGAAATCTAGACTGGAGAATGTTCCATAAGCACTTGAAAGGATTGTGTATTTCACTGCTTTTGGATGGAATGTTTCATATACATATTTGGTCTGAAGTGTCATTTAAGGCCACTGTTTCCTTATTGATATTCTGTTTCAATGAGGTGTCCATTGATGGAAGTGGGGTGTTAAAATCTCCTATTATTGTGCTACTGTCAATTTTTTCCTTTATGTTTGTTGCATTTCCTTTACATATTTAGCTACTCCTGGTTTGATACATATATATTTACAATTGTTATCTTCTTATTGGATTGATCACTTTATAATTATGTAATGTCCTTCTTTGTCTTAGCACAGTCTCTGTTTTAAAGCCTATCTTGTCCCTGGTGGCTCAGACATTAAAGAATCCACCTGCAATGGAGGAGACTTGGGTTTGATCCCTGGGCTGGAAAGATCCCCTGGAGGAGGGCATGGCAACCCACTCCAGTATTCTTGCCTGGAGATTCCCCATGGACAGAGGAGCCTGGCGGGCTACAGTCCATGGGGTCACAAAGATTCGGACATGACAGCAACTAAGCACAGCTAAGCATGCGCCCCAGTTTCCTTCTTGCTTTCATTTGCATGGAATACCCTTTTCCAACCCTTCACTCTAGTCTGTCTGTCTCTTTAGATCTCAAGAAAGTCTCCTGTAGGCAATATATACATGGCTCTTGTATTTTTTTATCCATTCGGTCATTCTATGTCTTTTATTTGGAGCATTTAGTCCATTCACATTTAAAGAAATTATTGATAGGATGTACTTATAACCATTTTGTTTATTGTTTTCTGGTTGGTTTACAGTTTTTTAATATTGTTTTTGTTGCTCCTTTCTTCCTTTGTTCTCTTCCTCTTATGATTAGATGACTTTCTTTAGTGTTGTGGTTGGATTTTCTCTTTTGTGTGTATATCTATTACAGGTTTTTGGCCTGTGGTTACCATGAGGTTAATATACAACAACATATATCATTTTTAAGTTGATGTTCCCTTAAGTTCAAACATGTTCTAATATCCCTGTATTTTTATTCCCCCAGCCACCACTGCCATTTTTAATATTTCTGACATTATATTTTACATCTTTTGTTTTTTGTATCCCTTTATTACTTACTGTGGATAAATGATTTTACTACTTTTGTCTTTTAACCTTCCTACTAGCTGTCTAAGAGGTTGATCTACTATCTTTACTGTATGTTTGCCTTTATTAATAAGATCTTTGCTTTCATAATTTTCTTATTTCTAGCTGTAGTCTCTTCTGCTTAGAGCAGTCCTTTAAAATTTCTTGTACAGGTGTTTTAGTGATGCTGAATTATTTAAGCTTTGGTTGTTAGTAAAACTCTATCTCCCTTTCAAATATGAATGATAGCCTTGCCAGGTAGAGTATTCTTGATGGTAGTTTTTTTTCCCCCTTTTTTCACTTTGAATACATTATGCCAATCCTTTCTGGCCTGCAAAGTTTCTGTTGAAAAGTCAGCTGATAGTCTTAAGAGCTTCCTTGTATACTACTAGTTGCTTTTCTCCTTTTCTTTTGAATGGAATCTTTTTTTTTTTGAGCAGTAGGTCTCAACAGTGTGCTTAAAATATTAACCTTAACTAAACCATGGTTGGAAAAAGATGTGCTGTTATATAAACTCTGTTGTTCGATTTACAGAGCACAGGCAGAATAGCTTGGTAATAAATCTTAAGGGCCCTAGTATTTTCCGAATAGTAAATGAGCGCTGGCTTAAACTTAAAGTCACCAGCTGCATTAGCCCCTAACAAGAGAGTCAGTCTGTCCATTAAGGCTTTGAAGCTAGGAATTTGACTTCTCTCTAGCTATGAAAGTCCTAGCTGTCATCTTCTTCCAGTATAAGGCCATCGCATCTATACTAAAAATCTATTGTGTAGTGTAGCCATCCTCATTAATTATCTTGACAAGATCTTCTGGATAACTTGTTGCTTCTATATCAGCACTTGCACTTGTACTTGTATGTTATGGAGAGCTTCTTTCCCTAAATCTCACGAACCAACCGCTGTGAGCTTCAGACTTTTCTTCTGCAGCTTTCTTACCTCTCTCAGCCTTCAAGAAAATGAAGAGCATTAGAGCCTCGCTCTGGACCAAGCTTTGGCTTATGGAAATGCTATGGTAGGTCTGATCTTCTATCCAGACCACTCAAACTCTCTCCATACCAGTAACAGGGCTGTTTCGATTTCTTATCACTCATGTATTCACTGGAGTAGCACTTTTAATTTCCTGCAAGAACTTGTCCTTTGCATTCACAAGTTGGCTGACTGGTGCAAGAGGCTTAGCTTTTGGCCTATTCTCATTAAGTTTAATCATTTCCAGCTTTTGATTTAAAGGGAGAGGTGTGCAACTCTTCTTTTCGCTTAAACCCTTAGAGGCTATTGTAAGGTTATTAACTTGCCTAATTTCAATAATGTTGTGTCTCAAGGAATAGGGGTTGTCTGAGGAGAGGGAGACAGAAGGAAGCACCACCAGTTGGTAGAGCAGTCAGAATACACACATCAATTAAATTTGCTGTCTTATATAGGCAAGGTCTATGAAGTCCCAAAACAGTTATAATAGCAAGATCAAAGATCAATGACCACAAATCACTGTAACAAACATAGTAAACATGAGAAAGCCTGAAACATTCTAAGAATTACCAAAATGTGACTCAGAGACACAAAGTGAGCAAAAGCTGTTGGAAAAATTGTGCCAATAGATTTGCTCAATGAAGGGTTGTCACAATCTTCAATTTGTCTTAAAAAAAGAAAGAAAAACAGCATCTGCAAAGTTCAATAAAGTGAAGTGCAATAAAACATGGTATGCTTGTACATATCATATGATTCCATTTACAGGACAGGGTTAGGTATAACTACAGAAATAAAATGCTGAACAGTGTTTGCCAAGGGTTAGGCATCCAGGGGAAGGACTGATTACAAAGTAGCAGAAGGAGAGAATTTCAGGGAGGTGAAAAGACTATTTTATCTTGATTGTGCTATTGGCTGTTGATTACACAACATTGCATTTCTCAAAACTTATCAAAAACATTGGATTTTACCAAAGGTAAATTTAAAAAGTGAATAAAATAGTATAATGTTATGTGAATGGATAGAACATTGAATTTTATTATACTACCGCAAGTATATGAAAATTGTGTAAGTCCATAGAAGACTAAAAGGTAGCTTACAAAAATAGAACAATGATAAATAATTTGATGGTCAACTTTTCTCTTGAACTTTTGTTATATTTTTCTCTTGAACTTTTGTTATATTTTAAAGTTCTCCTGAAATCTAATTAAGTTTCAAAAATTCGTTAAAAGAAAGAATATAAAAATTAAACAGTTTTACTTTTTCTGAAAGTTTCTGCTGAGATTTTTGCTTATTTTAAGCAAAATAGATGTTTGGTCAGCTTCTTAAATTATTAGAGATTATTACTCTAAAAATAATCATTGGAACAACACTATTAATATTTCAAACCCTTTAATAAGCCCCTCANGGGTAGAGTACCTTAAGGTGTCTTGCAACTTCTGGATTAAACAGAGGTGTTTTTATGTAATGAAAAAAGAGTGTTGCGATCCTTTTTCTGAGTCCTTCCAGATTCTGATGTTTGACTCCTCTCATCATAAGGTCAACCTCCCTGTCAATCAATTCGAGGATTTCCTGAGTCAGTTTACATTCATGTTCCTGTGTAAAATACACACACATATGTTGTGTAGAATACTAAATATCATCAAGTTAGTTTTTAAAGTTATCACCAAACAAGCTAAGACTAGATTCCAAAAGTACGCTAATGAAAGTAGAGATGAAAGTGAAAGTGAAAGTCGCTCAATCAAGTCCAACTCTTTGCAACCCCATATATAGTCCATGGATCTCCAGGCCAGAATACTAGAGTGGGTAGCTGTTCCCTTCAGGGGATCTTCCCAACCCAGGGACTGAACCCAGGTCTCTCGCATTGCAGGTGGATTCTTTATCAGCTGAACCACCAGGAAATCCATTAAGTATAGATGGATATCACTAATTTGGAAAAGAAGCTGACATTATCGAGAAGAATTTAAGATATCCATAATCTACAACCCAGCAATTCTACTCAAGTGCTTTAAAGAAATGTGCATGGAGTCATTGTTCAAACCAGTTCAAAATCAGAAATAACCAAATATCCATAAACAAATTGATTACATAAATAAGCGAAAAAGTAGGTGGCTCAGATGGTAAAGAATCCACCTACAATATAGGTTCAACCCCTGGGTCAGGAAGATCCCATGGAGAAGGGAATGGCTACCCATTCCACTTTTCTTGGAGAATTCTATGAACAGAGAAGCCTGGTGGGTTCACAAAGAGTCAGAGACAACTGAGTGACTATGAGCAATTAACACTTTTGGTTCATACAATAAAGTATTATCTATACAGAAATGAATTAACTAGAGCTATACACAATAACAAATTTAAATCTTACAAACTAATGTTTAGCAAATGAAGCAAGGCACAAAATAATACTTACTGTCTCATTCCATTTAAATAAAATTCAAAAATAAGCAACACGACAGTATATTACTTAGAGATGTATCAATTCAGTTCAGTCGCTCAGTCGTGTCCAACTCACTGTGAACCCATAAACCACATAACGCCAGGCCTCCCTGTCCATCACCAACACCCGGATTTTACCCAAATTCATGTCCATTGAGTTGGTAATGGCATCCAATCATCTCATCCTCTATTGTCCCCTTCTCCTTCTGCCCTCAACCTTTCCCAGCATTACGGTCTTTTCAAATGAGTCAGCTCTTCGCATCAGGTGGCCAAAGTACTAGAGTTTCATCTTCAACATCAGTCCTTCCAATGAGCACTCAGGAGTGATCTCCTTTAGGATGGACTGGTTGGATCTCCTTGCAGTCCAAGGGACTCTCAGGAGTCTTTTCCAACACCACAGTTCAAAAGCATCAATTGTCCGGCACTCAGCTTTCTTTATAGTCCAACTCTCACATCCATACATGACCACTGGAAAAACCATAGC